GACCTGTTTTAATGTTTTCCGGGTATACCCCCCTCCTTTGCGGTTTTATTGGCAAAGCGAGACCATTAGCGAAATAAACCTCATCATCTCAAGAATATAATGAGTATTATAAAACATGGAGGGTCGCAACTTAAGGTATTATACGCGGCTGTTAAAAGTGGTCTTAGGGGGATGTTATGGCTATTCCAAGCTCAACCGACAACTTAGAATGCTAGCCTTGCTGGGCCATTGCAGTTGTTTAAGCACTAGTTTACGCGTCATTGTCAATTTTCTCCCCGCTAGACGTCCGTTGAAGTGGCGGAAGCCCTAATACAGGAGCACAAGGCTTTCACAGCGTCTTTGCGTACCTGTGTAAACCGCTTGGATGCCCTGACCCGTTCCGGAAATGAGTTAGCTGCCCAGGACCAGCTGCATCGCGACCGAATTCTCGACAAACTGTCCACACTGAAGTCGCGGTAAGACCATGCATCTCTACTGTAGTTTTCCGATAGACTCTTTGCGAAATTGAAATGCGTGCACAACAATCGATTTCAGGAGTCTGCAGACCTTAGAGAAAACTACCCCGTGCAAAATTATTATTTCATCATAAAGGCATCGTTTAGCGTTTTAGTTGTAAACGTCTTTTGTTGCATTGCACTTCGGATATACAGTAGGTTAACTGTTTCAGGTAATGTTCACTAAGATCCTGAAATGTGTTTATGATTCGAACAAATTACTTAGGTTGGGGTATAATATTCATTAGCGTGTAGCACAATCTCAGGAGAGTTGTAGTCACGGCAGGATGCGGGCTTTTGAACAAGCTCCTTTATGACTACCTGTAATACGCATACTCTTTAAAACATGGCCACTAAAGTAGTATGTTTTGTTCTCATTGATTTTCAATGGCCTTAAAAATTCGAAAATATATTTTTTAGAAAACATACAGAAACCATGCCTTCTTCAATTTGTTTTAATTGGAGAAAGGGCATCTTTCGGCTTTAAATAACTTTTCCTAAATTGCCGAATAATCGTGAACCCTATCGACCGTTACATGTGAATTAAAGGTTTCCAAAGGACATGCTGCACACAGTTCTCACAAAGGTTTTTAATGCATGGGGATTATGTCTTGTGCTTGATAGGCAACATTCAAACATTGACAGATACAATGTATTGTGGGTGAACAGTTCACGCTCGCAGGACTTTCAAAATCAGAAACTTTTTAAAAAAACTGCAAGATAATCTTCCTTAAAATATACCATTTAAAGAAGCCTTAAGTTTCCGCCAAAACTTACAAAATAAAGAATACTATTGTGCATGTTTTCCATAAAATTTATACTCGAATTTCTAAGACCAGTGAAAGTCAATGAGAAGGTAGCATTCTACCTAAGTAGCACGTTTTTTTACAAGATATACGTTTTACAGCCAGTCCGGAAGAAGCTTGCCCCAAAGCCGGTATCCTTACGCGACTGAAATATTTTGAAATAATGCTGTATTACAATCAACCTTACAACCCTGCTTTATTAATTTGTTTGAATCTAAAACACATTTCTGAATTTCCGTTCATAATTCATAAAATGGAAAAAGCAGTTAATTATCGCCCAACAGTTTTAAAATACTGTCTAATTCCCAGCAGACTTCCGTTGCTTTGAACACAATAATGCACTTTTGATGAAGCCAAAACGGGAGTTCACAGTGGAGAGGTGATGTTCTACCAGCAAGATATTCAAAAACCCAAAGCGGAAATGCCGGTAAAACGGAATACGCAAGGCCGGATCAGGCCTTGTGACAATGATAAAAGATACAAAGATAAAAAGGACTTTGACGCATTTGTTCCCCGGTAGGAATTTAAAACAAGCATAAACGGCGGGATTTATTGAATTCAACAAATTTCGCGGCGGCTTTTTAACCGCAGCCCGTCGTTGCATGATTCAAATAACGGGAGATTGAATTTCGCAGAAATTCAGTGTATAACAGCAAGGGTGTAAATAATGATCATGTGAAGGACACTAAATTACACACTGACATTTTGGTAAATTCAGTTGAATGCAGTTTAAAAGCCGTCGCGAACTTTGTTGAATTCAATTAATCCTGCTGTCTACGTTTGCCTTAAATAAAAAGAACTTGTTTCTATTCCCATCTCACCAGGTGACATAACAGTGCAGTCAGAGCCGGTTATTCCCACGTTCTGCGAGTTCTGAGAGCAAACTGACGAAAACATTCAGGAATAGGATGCTTTCTTGACACGAGAGGAGTAAAGTGTACGGCTACGTGGACAATAAGACCGTGTTTTCTGAAGAAAAATACAATAGATGTACCATTTTAAGTGAAGCGCAAAAGGCAAACTTAGAATTCTTCTGAAACATCATTAAAGGCCAAAGAATTGTCGAAGGAAGTGCAAGCATACACTACGGGTTTATTTCCCCACCTAAAATAAACAATACACAAACACCGTTTTACAGTTTTGGAATTCCCTTATATGAGCTTATGGGTACATCCTAAAAGTTCAGCTTGCAGCTATCCACTGAATGAATATCGAAAAAGGGCACTTACTTTGTCTATTGAATGGGTAGTTGAGGAAACTACTGAACGTTACTGCTTAAGAACGTAATCGTACAACTCAGTAGCGCAATTATAAAACGCGTTTGCTGGATGTCTTTGGTCCTGACACAAAAGGCGAGATAATTACAAGCGATTTGGACATAAAGCCTGTCCTGCATACCTTTCTCTTCGGCTATGGACACTAACAACAGCGATGGGTGTTTTAAGTGAGAAATGGAATTTTATACATGTCTCAAACTGAATGGTCGAACTTTCAGTGACGGTGGTGTCAAAAGTACCACTGGGATATACGCGCTACTGGGCGCATTTTACTGTTAATGTTTTTTAAAAATACTTCGAAATGTTATTTCACAGTCAGATGACAAGAGAAACGTTTCTATTTGATTGCAATTTTACCAAACCAAGATAATTTAACGAATCTATGTACTTCTACTGCTGCTAGGAAGAATATCTCCAGCTTAAAGGTCGTCATACAGTGCAATCTGGAAATGCGATATTCGGAGTTGTAATTTACTCAATCTAACATGTCAATTTACAGGCTGAATAACAACGCGAAACGATCAGAGCTTCGCGGCCGGGTCCTAGAAGAAAACTTCCGTCTGCAGGAGTATTTCCGAGAAGTTGACGAGGTAGGTTTTCTGGATTTGAACTATAATAAATGCAGCTCGTTGAATTACTTAGGATTTACAGACGTTGACAAACGTTCACCGATCGATAACGGAACAAATTCGCCCCGCTCTGCCTTTGGGCTCATTCTGGGGCCCCGCCAGCAACCGCACGGCAGCTAGTAATTTCGGCGGATGACATTACCGGCAAGGAAAAGGGAGACTATAATATATATTTCTGGCTCATTAGCCGTCATCAGCTGGGCATATCCAACCGCAAGTGGTGCCCCACCCAACGAGTGTCAATATCTCCCGATCTAAACCCGCCAGACAACGAGCTGGTGGCTGAATGGTTAGAGTGTTAGACTTCTGATCAAAAGGTTGGGGGTTCGAGCCTCGGATGGGGCACAACTTGGGTCTGGATATGACTGGCTGATGACGGCTACTGAGCCAAAAATGACCATTCCAGTCGTCCTTATCTCTGCCGGCAATGCTAGTTGAAGAAGTTCTTGGCATACACGCGCGGTCTGTTTCAGACTTATAATTGATGAGGAGATTATTTGGTTGTTGGCGTCTGTTCAAAAGTTAGTTATTATTAACTTGGCGTTGTGCGTACCACTGAACTGGCCCACCCTTTATAGCAGTCTCAAATTTTATGACTCGTATTGGCCGAAGTGAATCTGCCTAACTCTTGTTGCATTTTGGCAGTTACTTAGCAAACATATCGCTTATATACTAATTAAATCATAGATAGAGAAGACAAAGGCGTCTCGATCACCGAAATAATAATTTTATTCTTTTGAAATTTCAAACTCTTGTGGGAGTCCATTGTCAGAGTTAAAACGTCAACGAAAAACAAGCAAC